CAAAATGTTCAAAAATTGCTCCATTGTTTTTGATTATATTTTGTTTTTGGATAGTGTGAAGGACGGTTGAGAGATTGGTACAGAACCCATGTTTGCTGAAAACCCTGATTTTTGGAAAATTGCAAAAATTCAAATATTTTTCGGCGTCATCTTAGAACTAAAATTTTGAAGATAATTTTTTCCCTTTAATTTTGTCTGTTTATTAGAGGTAGATTTTGAAATAAATTTTTTTCGAAAATTTGAGTACTTTTCGCGTAATTTTGCGTGTATGTACGAGCGATAAAGTACGTTTTAGCATCACAGGTTAAAGAAATTAATCTACAAATAATAAGTATGATGCATATGAACTGATGTAGCAATAAAAAATGAGCGTGTCATTGTGTTTTTAGTGTGTTATTGTAAATTCATGAAATATTTACTAACAAAACACACGACCCGGAAATAAAATGTGTAAAATTGACGCAAATGACCTAAAAATTGAAAAATAACAAAAAGTATCTCAATAACCATACACTTCTAACTCCTCGAATTCATAATAAACATTCATTTTCAAGTCAACTATGTCTATAATGCACTAATGGAAAAATGACATGTCATCAAACTCCGAACCCTGATGGTGACATTGAGGCTACAGCGTCTCTTACCGGGAGGTCCTGGGGTTCGAGTGCAGATGTTTGCGAATTTTCAACTCCAGCTCGAATGCAGCTGCCATCTAGAGGACAAGTCTAGTCTCCGGTTGCTCGAAACGGTAGTTTTCCTTAGTTTTTATCAATAGCGGCGAATGCTGAAACAGTACGCTAAGAAGCTAAGTATACGTCCGATTTCACCTCCCTCATTCTCGTTCCCCCCTTGCACGCCCACATTTAAAATGACGTGCACTACATCACCAGTCATGTCGGAAGACCGGCCGGGAGCTTAGTGCTCATCCTGACCGGGAGGGTGCCCCGCTGGGGTGCCTAAGTGGAGGAAATACCCCACAAATCGGCACGTGGGTTGGCACCCGAATCTCTCCTTCATCAAGTACACAACTCTCGAGTTTTCGGGAAACTTTATCTGACATTGTTTAAAGCATATGTACTCATAAATACATTACTGTAAAGAAATTGACGCTAATGCAAATATTAACGTGAGTGATAAGTAAAAAAATGTAATTTTTGAAAAATACAAAAGAATAGAGCACTATTCATGTCATCTTATAGAGTGAATTTAGTACTATACCTACCAAACGTCTAAAGAAAAAAAATTGGAGCCTTTTTTGATAAAATCGTGTTTTTGTAATTTTTTACAATTGCAAATATTGCACGCAATATTCCGCAAAAACTACTAAAACTTTCAAAAAACTTACATGACCTTAATGAAAGAATTCACTATGGAGAACAAATTTAATTTGAAGGACAACTCTCAATATTTAATTTTGTAGTTGTAGGAAGACACCGAAAAAAAAAATCCATACGTTTGCAATTTTCTAAAATTCAAAGTTAACCGTAAAATCGGACCTATGCCACTTCTATAAGTGTGTGTTACACTATTCTTACAAGACATTTAAAGAAACAATTTCGAGTCGTACTTGCGAAACGTTTGAAAATGTCCGGATGGCTTCATGTAAAGTACCCCCAAATTTTAAAGAATGTTTTTCAAAATTTCGACGTTTCGACTCGAGCCAGATGGACCAGGGTTTCTTCAATTTGGAAAAGATCCGACGTATGGTTTAGGCGCTAGTGGTGTTCACAGACGGGCGGACGGTTAGACAGACGGCCAGACGAACAGACGGCCAGACGGACTGACAAATGGACAGACGGACGGACGAACGTTTTGAAAAAAAACCAACTCTTTTTCAGTATCAGGGTATTTCCGTTTGCAAACCGTATTTCTGTTGAAATCTCGAAATCTATTTTCCACATTATTACATAACTTTCCCAACACTAGTGATATTAGTATCAGTGCTGTTTATTTTCCCCCCTAATGTATTTGATCGTCTGGGCCACTCATTTTTATAGTTCTAAAATTCACTCATGACACCACAATGAATTCTCTAAATCATGTAAAGAAATTATCAGTTTCATAGTAAAAAAAAATTGAAATTCACAGTGTATTGGACACCATTGGGTGCTTTTTAACATTTAGCATTACTGCTTATTATTTTTAGCTTTAAGCGTGTCTTACAATTTGTGGTCGCATTGTAGGAACCATTTTTTCCAAACTGAAAAAACCCTTGTCTATCTGGCATGAGTCGAAACATTAAGATTTTGAAAGCAATTCTTTAAAATTTGGGGGTACTTTACACGAAGCCCTCTGCAACATTTTCAAAATTTTCTCAAAAACGTCTCCATGTTTTCTTTGAATTTGTAACAAGAATATAATAAAAAGTGGCATAGGTCCTATTTTCAGATATAACTCTGAATTTTCGAAAATTTGAAAATTCCTACAACAACAAAATTGAAGATGGAGATTTTTTCCTTTAAATACAATTTTTCTCCATGGTGAGTTCTTTCATTTAAGTCATATATATTTTTTAAATACTCGTTTTCGCGCAGTATTGCGAGCAGTATGTGCAATTTTAAATAATTACAAAAACAAGATTTTCTCAAAATCGGCCACAAATTATTTCTTTGAACTTTTGGTAAGGATAGTGCTAAATTTACTCTATAAAATGACATACGCGCCATATTGCTCTATTTTTTTGTTCATTCAAAAATTGCAAATAATGAATTTTTTGACTTGTCTCTCACGTTGTTAATATTTATATTAGCGGCAATTTGTTCACATTATTATATTATGAGTACATGTGATTTAAGTAATGTCAAATAAAGGTTCTCGAAAACTTAATCGTTTTCTGTGAAAACTAGCAGAAAACTCCGCATTTTCAGAAACGCTCAAACGCCATTTCCTCAAAAACAGCTCTCATTTTTTACTTCAAAATTTTCGATGGGATAGTGGTAATTGCACTCTTTATTATGACGTAAAATTTAATTTCGTTTTTTTTTCGTTGTTTGTTTTAATTACACAAATGTTTTTTTGAAAGATCTCTCAAGCTTTGAATATGCTAATTTCCCGCACTTTTTAAATACTATTCTATTTGTGAGCTAAAGCGTTTCAAAAGACTTCAAATGAAGTTTTTCGAAAACTCACAACTATTATTTGAAAAAGAACGTCAAATTTTGAGTTTAGAGCCCAAGCGCTATTTTCTTAAACACGCTGCAAATTTTTCAATGTAAATTGCAATTTAGTACGACGTTTTACTGTTATTTAATATTCATAAAATAATATTTCCATTATATTATTAGGAAACCGAAAAATTAAAAAAATTTACTTCGGGCGGCGATAGATGGCAGCTGGAACGAGTCTGTTACAAGTTTGTATAGCTAGCTGAGACCAAAGGAAATAGAAAACGAATACGGAGATGTATGTTCCATTCTGTAGCACCACTAGTTAATATTGATAAATATCCAAATTTGGCAACTGTGGAATCAATAAAATGGAGATTCCCGACACTTGACGCACACATAGAGCCCCATACCATTACGGAGCCCCTGCCGTGCTTTTAAATTGCACACAATTGTTTATCTTCTAAGGCTGCCTTAACCTTCCTCCACAGGTACTGTTGTTCATCTAAAAATGTGCTAAAATGAAATTGCGTTTAATGCAACCTGCAGTACACCAAGGCATTGCGTATTTCATGGCAAAGGGACGACAGGGGGGCAAAACATTGTCGAGCGAGTCTGGATGTGGGATTGGGGGCGAGTAAGCGGGAGGAGCTTGAGCGGGGCGAGAAGGGAGGTGCGGCGTAGCGTGAGCGGGCGAGCGGAGTGGCGGGGCGAGCGGAGCGCGGCGTGGGCGGAGCGGGGCGGGGCGCAGCGGGGCGCATCTGAAACAGAGGTGACATACTGGGGTGATAAGGTTAAAACTCATATTAATCGCGCATCTTTTCTTAAACGATGACCTTTCGACCCTCTCTTTGGCACAATGAACAGCTGCAGGCAAAAGCTCGCAGCGAGCACTGCTGGCAACCTTCTAAACACATAATTGGCACAAAATAGAAACTATTTCTGTTGAAGACGAGAACTTCTGTCAGTGAATTTCTCCAAAAAATGTATAGAAATGACCAAAGCAGGTGATGATCCACCACAGAAGATACTTCGAATTCCTTAGAAAGTTAGGACGCAAATTATTGAGAAAGTTGCGAAGTCATGACTGATTCTCCAGAGATGGATATTTTTCATAAAATCTAGTGTCCGATTTCGTAACTAATACCTCCTCTCTATCTGATTAATTCAGTCCATCGTTCAAGAATAGTTGCGCGAGTATTACACCGCTTGCTCTTTTGGTCAATTTGGTCTTTGGAGTAATTTAAGTAAGTCAGTAAGAAAATCAGTCTTTTAAATGCAAATTTTTTTGATGTCAACTATTTTGTGATAAATTGCGATAGTTCTTATCTTAGATAAATGTTTGATCTTGGTGATAGTTATCATTCTTGTATAATTTAAATACATAATTATTTGGGAATACCATAACTTTATAGGCACATTATATATACTTTTGTTAGAGTTTAAATAACACATCAATTCATAATTTGGAGGACCCTGTGAAAACTATGTAAACAATGTTTTGAATTATTACTCTTAATAATATGGTTTCTATAGCATGTGACTAAATTAACACTATTCATTCCTGAAGGGAATTTTTTTAGTGAATTGACTTTTGTTTCTGGCATCATTTTTCATTATGCGTTGGTACACCTATAGCCTATTGATTGATTTACAGCTCGTAACCACAATAATATTTCGGACTTGAATATTTTATCATAATCCTATTCTGATATGGTTATTATTACGATACAGAAAGATATTTATTTCGATATAGAGAAAAGGTTTATTTACTTTTTTCCTCTAAGAATTTCGTTATATGTGAAAGTCAATCAACACAATGTAAAATTTACTACAAAAATGTTCATTTAAAAACGTATTTGAACTTCATAAACCAAGGAATGTATTAATTTACAGGTTCTTAGCAAAGAAGAACATAAAAACTGGTGGGCAGTACGATCTATAAAGCAAAACACGGTTGGATTTGTACCAGCAAATTACATGCAGTTGCCTGAGTGTGCCACGGCGAGCGAAGCCTTTAAGGTGAGTGATTGTTACAAACTCCTCTCTACACAATAAGTTAACACGAAACCACTGAAGGTGGCTTTACAAAAAGTAGCATGTAACAATAAAATGCAGAGAAGAACAATAAAATGTGCTACTACAATTGTGAAATAAATTAAATATTTTAACAAAACAGTCTTCACAAATACTGCAGTAATATAGATCAACATGCAACCCAACTATTCTTTAATTATCGAGAATATAAAAAAAAGTGCTATTCCATGACGCAATCTGCAAATATTTTTTGGCGCACTACCTCTTCCTTGGAGCCTTTCTGTCGCATGACGTCAGCTGTGTCATAAACAGTATCGCACTTAGTTTGATATTTCTACTAGTACGGGCATTAAAAGGAAAAATCGAATGATAACACATCAACTATTTGTTGTTGTTTTTTAATTTCTCAAATTTAAATAATATCAGGGAATTTTTTATTCTATTTGTGAACGTCATAATTAAAGCCATGATTTTACTTTATTTCCTTTAATACTTGTATTGAAGATATTGTTGTTTTACAACAAATACGTAGTTTTCTACATTTTCTCAAAATTTTAACAATCTTCCGTAGTTTAATTGAAATTCGAATTTCAGAATGTCAGTGAAGAGCGAAATTAATTTTTTTATTGGATACTTTCTCGGAAAAAATTGGAGCTGTTTTTCAGAAAATGTCGTTTCATTTTTTCTCAATATGCCTAATTTTGAATTAATTTACTCACGAAAACTAGTTTTCGAGATATTTTATCTCAAATAGTTTGAGGCATTTATACTTGTCAATACATTAAATTGTATAATACTGGCTTTCATGTAATGTTAAAATTAACAACGTGTGAGATATTTAAAATACCTATGTATACATTTTGACAAATGAAAAGCTTTAGTCGAAATGGCACTTACGTAATTTGATTTGGTGCATTGTGCACTGAATAGTAATAAAGTTATTGAATCACTGCTTTAATATTAGGTTTTCTGTACACATTAATTAATTTGTGAGTACATATGATTCAAATGATTTGTTACGAAGTTTCTCGAAAAACACAAAAGTTGTCTGTTAAAATTCCGCATTTTCAGATATGTTCAAAAGCCATTTTCTTAAAAATGGCGCAAAAGGTTCCAATAAAAATTTTCATGAAGGACCTTATTTTATGCTTCTGTAATGTTCTTAAAGTCAAATTTCAATTCTGCTATTTGCCTACTAGGTAGGCGAAAATTTTCGTTGACAGATCTAAGAGAATTGCAGGCGGGATGTCGAAAAAAAATAATTTGTAATATTGTTTAAAAATAAAAGACTATTTTGAGTTTTTTTCGCTTCATTTCCAAATACTCGTGTACTCGTTTCCAAATACCCGATTTTTGTTTTGGAAAGAATGGGGCGTGGTAATAAATAATATACGATAGTTCTAGGGGAAAATAATGGTGCTAATCAGCACATACTTTCTCGACATTAGTAATGGTTATGTAATACTATTTATACAATATTTTCTTTCCGAATTAAAATATCTCAATCATCAGTTTTTCTGTAAAACTCATTTGAAATCGTAGAACATATGGTGCGAAAAATGAGTAGTATTCGAGAAAGTAAAATAATTAAAAGTTATAAATAATACTGTACTAAGAGCATTTGCAAACAAATGCAAATGCTTTGAAAATGTAATATAATAGTATTTATTAAATTCTATGATATTGTCATTTTCCACAATGTGTAAAAGTATTAGTTTATATTACCGCCAACGAAAGGCAGACGACATTACCTTCTGTTAGCAGTGCGGCGTTAAAGCAATGGATTTCAACAAAGACCGCTCATCTTTTCGTTTTCATATTTAACACAAAGAACACAATTTAAAATGAAATAACCTAATATAATATAAATATAATAAAATGAAATACGAAATAATATACAAATTCTAACTTACATAGCATCCAACTGCGTAAATTGGGAACTGGTGACTGAAGGCTAGAGTTCTTTATTTCATATTTATTTCAAAAATGTTTTAAATAATTTCGAAAAGATTAATATGTAAACTTATAACAAAAGCTTCAATGTAAGAAACGAACAAAGAAATATGAAATAATAAACACATTCCAACTTACGTTGCATCGAACAGCTTCAAAAGACCTCTAAAATTACAAACACGCGCAGGATTTTCAGAGCGGGTGATTAATGTTTACGCCCAATTACTCACAAAATATTCATATTTTTCAAAAATTCAACTTGACCTTATTTGAAGGTACGTTTTTGATGAATACATTTCATTAAGAAAAAAATTGTGTCATCGTAATTGTAGTTGTACGAAGACATCGAAAAAAGTTTGATTTTTTGCAAATTCCGAAAAATCAGGGTTTTTAACCAACATGGTATCTGAACCATTCTCTTAAACGTCCTTTAGGCTTTCCAACAACAAAATTTAATCAAAATTGATGGTGACATTTTTGAAGATATCCCAGGGACTTTATGATAAGCATCCCCCCCCCTCAAATAAAAATATTGATTTCAAATTCATGGGGCCGCGACACTACCCAGATCGATTTTGGATCGGAAATATCAATTTTGGAGAAAATCGGCTGTATAGTTGAACCGCATTAATCATAGACGGACAGACAGACAGACAGACGTTTTGCCGTCAATCGGTTATTCGTGTTCACGTGTTTAAGAACTTTTTCTTAATTTAGGAACTGGATTTATCAACTTTTTCGTTTCCAGGGCCCTATAATAAAGAGTTTTTCTGACGAAAATTCGCCATTCTTTCGGCGCTGCATTACATATCTTTCTCTTTTTAAGAAGTTCCTTCTTAAGCGCGAGAAAGTAAAAATGAAGGCGTGTGTATTAGTGTATGAGTAGAATAACAAGTTTGGAAATTTTAAAAAATAAACCAGAAAATTAATTAAAAATGGTGTAAACTTAAAATCTTGTATGGGACTGGTATTTAGCACATTATTCAGGCGGGGTTATTGTATTGTCGCTCTGTCACGGTTTAACCTTCTCCTCTCGGAAATGAAGATCTAATAAAATCTCTTGTTATATTAATAAATACTAATTCCACAGAACGTAAATTGCTCGTATCTTGGTATGCCATCAACGCAATTTTGTTTCTCTTTTGGGCGCAGAAAACAACGTTATTTTTATAGAGTTCTCATTTTAGTAGACGTAAGAGAAGAGGTAAGTTTAGTTATTTCGTCGGCAGTAGTATCAAATCCAATCTTTAGCTAGTTTACCGAGTCTATTTCGCGGGAGCGCAAATGTCCTTTACCAAACATCCTCAACAATGCCTGTTACATCGGATTCGTTTAGCATTTTATGCCGCAAAGGAGGAGTTCCGGAATCGAGAGCTGCGAGAAAACGCGTGCCGATAACGGCTGCGTTTTGAACGCGACGGCTTCCGTTGTCTGAGGGCGACCGTGAGCGCGAGGAATGCGAAACATTCGAAAGCGCCGCCGCGCCGGCACGCGGCCGCTGGAGGCCGGCAGCGCCCCTAGCGGCCGAGCGCCTCGCGCTCCGGGGGAGAGCGGCGCCGAGGCCTCGCGGCTGACAGTTGCCAGTGTGGAAGAGCGACGCGCGCAGGTCGGACGGCGGTTGCACCCCACCCCGGGCCGCGCTCCCGCGCCTGTCGCTTGTCTTGTGCGCTGACTGGAGCCGAGTGACTTTGACCGTTTTCGTTCGAGTGTCGTGTATTCGGTTCGTGACAAGTCTTTCGGTGGCAGGTGTGTCGCATTGTTATTCAAGAATTTTTAGTTGTTTGAAGATCTTTGGGCTTTTTGATTTGAAAAGAAAATCGCTGCCGTGGAAATAGGTAAGAGATATTTTTATAGTGAAGAAATGGCACATTGTTAGCTTTCAGAACCGTGACACAGGAACAGCATAATCCCTGATTTTTGTTGCAAATGTCATAATTTCTGTGTGCACTATTTTGACGATTCTCATTGGATGTCTTTTTGAACAGATCGTTGCTGTATTGTGGCAAAGGTTTGGTGGATTTTGTTTAGTACAAAAATACTGTTAGCGTTTTTCAAACTGATAAGACTATACTTTTCAAATGTCTGCGTGCTCTGTCTGCGAACATTTTAGGCATGATATGCCTTTTCTTCTAAATGTTACTTTGAGTTGGTGATCTTATTTCGATTTGGCCGGTCTTCGATAAGAATTCTTGTGTTTTATCCGTCGATGCGTTTTGCGCAACACTCTGCTTGTTCCTGCTTATGACATTCGGCTTACGCCGTCCGGTGGGCAATTTGTATTCCTTTGCGTTCAATGGGACGTTTTGGCTGCATGCGGGTTCCTCTTCTGTTTCTACTGACGCATTGTGGCACACGCTATTTTTCACGATTTGCTGAAGTCAGCCATTCATTTTTTCATTGTTGAAAACGGAGACTTATTGCAACTCTATGTAACAGTGAAGTTGAAGTGGAGTCGTGATCATTTTTACAGCACAGTAAAATGTAGATTTGAAAATAGAAGAGGAAAGGGTTGCTTCAGGGAAAACATATGTTGTGTGGAATTTGCGAGCTTATTGGCAAATCCAATTTATTGGTACCATGTCGAACGATGACTGTTTACTATTGATTCTTTGTGGTGCGAATGTTCAATTTTCTTTCAAGAACTTCGATCGTGCGTGGTCGGAAAAGAGCGTCCGTTGAGTGTATTTGATTATCTGAATTGTTTGATAAACAAACAGTAATATTCTGATTGGAATTAGATTAATTGGTTTTGAAGCTCCCCCAAAAATTAAAAATTTTCTGTGTTAAATTTACGTATTGTGTTTACATAGCAAAATTCACTTGATTGTACGATTGTGGTAATCTCGACTCAGAAGCCGTTTATAAACAATAGTAAAATTTTGTAACAGTTCTGATTCTCAAATTTGCAATTATGTCGCTACTACTCGGTTATTCTAAGAGATGCGTGTTATCCGAATTTACAAATCACCCTTGCTGTTCAACTGATCGTTGATCGACCATCCAC